ACGTGTCAACTGGTTATGCGCCATTTTGGCCGTTGCCTCCGATTTCAGCTTTCTTTTCATTTTGTATTTGCTTCCATAGCCTTTGTCCAACCCAAAACAAAATACAAGGCAGCAGTTGTTTTGGTTTTTTTAAGTTGTCTCCCCGAGACGAGTCGCAAAAAAAAGTTTGATTATTAAAGCTTATTTTTCTATTTTTTAATTTTTTTTTTAAATTAATTTATTGCCACAACACATATTTCCTCCAATTCGTTTGTTTACCATTGCAGGATTGACCCCGATCTAAAGCCTGTGGTCTACTGCTCTGCAATTGAGGCAGGCGGTCTCGAAGAATGGAACTTTGGATTGAAGGTAAACAAAAATAAAATACGTGGATCAATCTCAGTAGTAATGGTGGTGTTGAGTTATCAAAATATACATAAAATCTTTTAGAAAGAATAGGGCTGGTAAATAGGTCACCAACCAGTTCTACGACTCATGCAGGTTTTATTGAGCCGTAGAACTGGTTGGTGACCTACTTACCAGCCCTATTGTCTTGCGACTGTAAATCTGTTTGTACAGATAGTTAACATTTAGTTAACATTTTTATTTGCGAAAGAGCGTTGCGTTTTGTTTTCTTACTGACTGTACAAGAAATATTCAAATTATCCCTTAACCCTTATTCGGGTCTTTAGGTCACCACAGTCTGTTGTGTTTAGGGCTAATTGTTGCATGGCGCCACCCCCCCCCCTCCATTCCTTACCACAACAGGTGAAGTAGAATTCATATGTTTCAATGACCTTCGCCTATAGAGAGATAGTGTGGTTAGCAACGTGACCTGCCGAATTTGTTTCCCTAACGTGGGTAAGGCCTCCTTCAGAGCTGGGTGGACTCAGGGATATCCTATAGTCACAAGTCCGAATGGAGATCCGAACATGAGACATTCGGACTTGAAGTCAAACGCTCTACCATTCAACCACATCTTAAATATATATATATATATATATATATATATATATATATATATATATATATATATATATAAACTAGAAAAGTTACACACGTTAAATTTCGCTTGAAAAAATTCAACTGACTTTAAAAGACTAATTTGACATTTAATCTGATCTTGGCATTGTTTTAACCTTTCAGATTTACACGGACCCCGCCATGTTTACTGAAACCACTTACCTTTTGGACGCCCTGTCTTGCTCCAAGGACGTGTGGCTGGTCAACAAGTAGGTCAAAGGTCACCTGTCAACGTTCACACACACTTTTACTAAAATTTACAAACATTATATACACGTGAAGGATACATCTTTTAGTGTATGTTTTCTGGGATATATTGGCGGGACTGTAACTGAACGGCAAAACGAATTCGTTTTTTGCGTAGTTTGTGTTGCCCACTTCAGTACTTTATTTAACCAACTTAAGACAACTGCAAACAAAAAAATTATTATGCCTACAAAAAAAGGTTCTTTGCCCAATTCTGGTGGTTAATTTGCTTGCTTAAGACGTTTATTTTGCTTACTTCATTAATTTATTTTGTTTACTTAAAAAAAAGTTCCTCTTTCGTACTTTTGCCTACTTCAGCAGTTAATTGTGTCTAAATTAAGAAGTTAATTTGCATATTTTCTAATTTAGAAAGTTTCCTCTAATGGTAAAAAGTTGGCGTGCAACGTGTATTATCTATGCGCTGTTTTCTAAACGTCTTATACGGAGGTATAAGTATTTTACAAAATGACCGCGCGGCAGGTTTAATACTACTGCGCGGCCGCGCAACCGCGCAGCTTAGAGGGAACATAGTAATTCGAAAACTAATCAAACAAACGTAATTATTTGTATTCCAGCTTCATCAACTACGTCATCCAAGACAACTCACCAGTTCGTAAACAAGACACGATTCCACTCCTGACCACATCTACCAGCAAAACTTTGCCACGTATCCTTTTCTGGAACTTCTTCAAGGCCAACTTCGACAAGTTCATGAGCATGTAAAAGCAAACTTTATACTTGTCCCCTCATTTTATAAAGTTATATTCTAAAAGATGTGTCGATTAAATCTAATTCATAGATGCATTTTCCGTAATATCCTCTATAATATTGTTTTAGGAGTACGATTTTCATATTTAGTACTGTATAAAGTTTTCTGCAATAGAGTGTTATGTCATCAATAATTTATTAAAATGTATATTTTCAGTTATGGCACTCAGATATCATTAGCCAAAGTCATCATCAGTGCAACTTCCGCTTTCAACACAGACTATGAGTTAGAGGATGTAAGACACTAAAACTATCTCTCTCTATCTCTTTTTATCTTTCTTACAATATTCTTATGATAGAGCGTAAAATGATGTAGATTCGAGCGATTCACTTTATCGAGCATCACACCTACTAGACTGAATTCCAGTGTGTATGGGGGGAAAAGGAGGAGGGGGGAGGGTAAATGTATCCCCTTCGAACATAAGCGAACATATGCGATTACAAATATACATACATAGGGTACCTGACTCAAATTGAGGAAACAAAGGCAAATGGGCACAGTGCTGACCACACTATTCCCATTAATGCCAACGTCAATCAACCAGATAAACCCTACTTCAACTACCCCATGTGTCTTGGATAAGAACGAGAAAAAGAATATATATATATATATATATATATATATATATATATATATATATATATATATATATATATATATATATAGTGTACAGGATTGATATTTCTTCCAGCTTAAAGCCTTTAAAGCCGCCCATGAAGGCCAATGGGGATCCGCCTCTAAAAGCATTGAGCAAGCCATCGAGAAGGTCTCCTCCAACGTGAAATGGATGAAAGACAACCAGGCCGCAATTGACCAGTGGCTAGCCGACGCTGGGTATTAAGGCACCCGTAGACAAGTCTGAAAACACGGAATCTGAAACAACTTTTTCTTGGCGTTGTGTGAGGGTCTGATTAGGGTAGCATCAAGGAGTTACAATTATTAATATTATTTTTACAAAATGTTAAAACTAGCCTGAGGCACAGAATAACAACGAACATGACTAAACAAAAGAATTATATTTAAAAGAATATTTTCAATTTAAAATATATAAAAGAATGGCTACTCAACGAACAGTAATATAATTATTTAGTTATTTAGTTGTTTTTTTAAGTAAATTAGGATCACATTCCACTTTCAAACGAAACAAAATATTTAAAATAATTAGTCGAAAATAATTCATTGAAAATATGGAAAGTTTTTTCCAAATAATCTGCATTTGTGTTAAACAAGATAATCTTTTAATTCTTTTTAATTTTTATAACTATCTTTTACATTAATTTTAAGGAAATTTTCTTATATATTCCTAGTAGCAATTAATAACAATTAATTAATAATCTAATTAATTGCAAATACAGTTTATAGCACGTTATCTAATGTGGATGTGTTATGAATTATCCATAAATAGCAATTAATTTATTGTGATTTTGTTTTTTACTTGTTTTCAATAAATCGCTTTAATTATACGTTATGCAGATCTTATTGTGTTAGTCGAGTGATTTCTATATCGATTATAGTACTGCGTGGATGATGCAGTAGGCAGTTTGACAGTAACATGAATTTTATTTAGTCATTTTACTCCTGGAGGTGGGGGGGGGGGGGGTTATTCAAAAAATCCGAGGTGGGGGTGTGCTTTATACAACCGAGAGAGGGGCGCAGATTAGTGAGAGTTGTTGGGAGAATCTGTGGACATGCTTCTTGTCTAAAAGAAAACCTGATAGTTTGGCATATAGGGACGCATCCATTTGTTTCCTGACAAGATAGGAGAAATAAAGTCCCCCTGGCTGACGACACTAGCCTCAAATAGGCTGAGTTCCATGGAACAGGCGAACTCTACTCCACCTGCCAAATTTGAAAGTGCAAATTGTAATTTGAAGAATTCTAATGTTTAACGTGACTTATACACGTAATGCAAAGGTTCCTTTCCAGGCTTGAGAGTGTACGTTAACTTTGTCTCCCCAGTACCCAGAGGTTGTTTGTCTTAGGGTGCGGCATATGTAGACGATCGGGCTGTTGTGGACACGGCCATGCACATCGATGCGCTGTGATGGTCTTTAAATAATCAAACCGATATTCAAGCCAGTAAGTCGGAGTTTGCCGTATTGATGCCTGCTTTGCTAATGGGAGACACTTCCTGAGCTGGTGATGTCCATAAAAGAAAAAAAATAAGAGGGTACGAACCCCGATTTGTTGCAGTTATACTGAATGTCCAACATCACACTTATAAGAAACCTGAATTGATTCGCCTCTAGTTGGTGATTTGTTAAAAAGTATTCGAGTCGATCCTACTGTTGAACATGCCAGACTATGTAAGTTAATGCTACGCTCTCTTAAAACGAGGCTTAAGAATCTTTTAGTAGCGTAGGAGCAATCTCTAAGCTAATGATTTAACAAGACTAATTTCTAATTCACTGGATCTTGAACTGAGGCTTTGTAATTATATTCTTGTAGCAATATGCATTATTGTTTTATAATGTTAACATTAAAGACGATGACTAGGTGAATTATACTCTGTCTGTGTGTGTGTTTGTGTGTGTGTGCGTGTGGGTGTGCGTGTGCGTGCGTGCGTATGTGCGTATGTGTGTGTGTGTGTAGGGGGGATGTCTTATTTATATAAATCTCATGCAAGTATGTCTGGATCTAGACCTACAAACAAAAGTAATCGCCTTATTTACATATTTTTTTCAGCTTCTGTTAACCACTCTGTAATACAACCCATACTATGTTTCTTATCCATTATCAGAGTTTACAGCTGTAACATTGGATTCACTCCACCGATTTTCACAACTGGTAAACTGGATTTTTACTGCAGAAAAAAATAGAAATTTTTATTTATTTTCAAGAAGGGCATTGACAGAAGCTTATCTTTTATTCCTCGCTAATAAAGTTTCAGTACATTAACTTTTAAAGTGCAGCTAGGTGGCACGTTCATGAAGGCTATATAAGCCTGGTTTGTCTTTAGGTGTGTCGTGTTTCAGCCTTTACGGTAGCTCAGTAGGAAACACACACAGAGGTTTAACAACAAGGACCGTAAGGTATGTTTGTTCATTTCAATATTAAATTATATATAAAGTTACGCTTTACTTTATAAATTTAAACGTATTTGTTTTAGATATTACATTTTGTAAAATATTTTTTAATTTTTTAATAAAATAAATTGAATTGTGAAGAAATTTTCATTACTTAAACAAAAGGGACGGCGTAGTCGTAGGGTCCTGAGTTCGGATCCTGAGTTCGGTATGTAAGTCGTCCCTTAGTCGAGCGAGGCCCTAATGGGTACCCAACTCACATTATGAAAATAATGGTTCGTAAGTGCCATTCACCTTATTTATTAAACATTTTATAGATCTAGTTCAACTTGGCATATGCTCATACGCTTCACACATGCCAGCATTTCCTATAATGTATATATTTCAAGCTGTACATCTGATGTAATGTATGTTTAACCACAGCTTTTTTTTAAAAATTAATTTACATTGCTCATACGTTTCACTCATGCCTATATTTCCTATACATTTATATATTTCAAGCTGTGCATTTGAAGTGTTGTATGTTTGATCACTAGTGTTTATTTTTTAATTAATTTACATTGGTTATTTAAAAAAAAAACTTGTAGGCTCGTTTCAAATGAAAACCTCTTTTACATCAAGGTAACGACGCATGTGTACAAGTTACTTCTTGTAGGTTTAGCAGTAGAGATCTAGGTTATTTAAACACTCACTTTACACAAAAAAAACCCGAGGAAACTAAGTCAACGGTGGCATTCAATAGCCTTTGTTGACAATTGTTAACGTTCATAAAATTCAACTATTTGCTATGGTAAAGCATGATATGTCACGTTTGTTCAGGCATACTCCAATTACATCCACCATCTAGAGAGTAGGGAGAGAGAGAGAGAGAACGTAGTATAGGTAGAGATTTATGAACATGTCTACAAAAATAATCTCGACGCTGTCCATACTTTTGTTGATGTACGGATCTTATTTGGCTGAAAGACATTCCAAGCTTCCTAGATTTGACATTTTCAAATCCCACTGCATTCATTTAGCTGCTTCCGGGGACAAAGACGTCTGTAAGTTATCAATTGGTTAAATACAATTAATTAAAATGTAAGTACTTCTGGAATTGTATGGTTAGGTAGTAGAGCTTACGACTGCTAACCCGAAAACTCTAGTTTTAGTCCAAATAAAAGTAATTAAGATAACCACGAATCGTTTCATGAGTTGAACCAAACCCGGACGCATCATTATCTATGTTGACTTAGCATTACCTATGATTTTTTTTATAGATTAGTTAACCTATTAGATTTTATACCTTACATAGTTTTATAAAATAAAGTTTTCAAAATGTAATGTAAACTAAAATGAATCTAAATTTTTCATGTTTTGTACGTATCTGTAGGTAAAAAATGCCCAGCTCCCAAAACGACAACCACGCCGACTACAACAACAACAAGAACGACGACAACAATACCGCCAACCACTCCAAAACCTAAGGTCACTGACCTGAGACTGCCCACATCCGTCTCACCACTCCACTACAACATCGACATCACCACCTTCATCCACTCATCCGATCCGTCGCAGTTTTCATACGAGGTAACACATTTCTAAAAGTAATGTTTATATTTTTAATAGAAAATCCTTTATTAGACTATTTATAAAAAAAAATAAAATCCCTACATTACTATCACTAGGTTTAGCTGTTTAAATATATTTTCTATATTTGTTATCATTATATACGAAGTTTTAACATGTACTTATTTTTTATCATCAAAATCATCATCAACATCATCATCATCATCATCATCATCATCATCATCATCATCATCATTATCAATCAACATCAATCATCATTATCATCAACATCGATCATCATCATTTTCCTCCTCCTCATCTTCATTATCGTCATAATCATTATCATAATCATCATTTTCCTCCTCCTCATCATCATCATTATCATCATCATCATCATCAACATCATCAATCATCATCATCATCATCAGCATCATCATAACAAATTAGATCCCCTAGACTTTAAAAAAAACGAATCTTGTAAGAAAACAGAAAGGAAATAAAAAAAATATCCCCTAGACTTTTCAAACAACGAATCTTGTAACACGTCTAACCTCGCACCCCAGGGCACCGAGAAGATCTGGATCCAGTGCAACACACCCGCCGACAACGTGACCATCCACTTCCGGGTTCTGACCATAGACCCCGCCTCAATTAAGTTCTATGGCGACCCCGTCTCGTCAGATGACCCGCGCTACGTCACGTCATCAATCGACCTGGCCAGGGAGTTTTTCGTCATCAAGTTGGACAGTAATATGCAGGTGAACAGGAACAATTAGAAATAAAGTTGTATACATAAGTTGTTCTATGTATAGGAGACAGACCGAAATTAGTTTTTCACGCCTTTCTTTATAGTTGTTTAAATAGCAGTCTATAATTTATTTTCTACTTTTTAGTGCATTTAGGGGTCTCCAAACTTTTCAGCCCGAGGGCCGCATTAACTATCAAAATATAAGTTCGGGGGCCAGAGTTTCTTTTTAGGTATATCATTGGGGTGGCATTTTTCCAAAGCCACCTACAACAAACATTTTTTTCCGTGGACAAAAATATCTCCGAGGGCCGGATGAGAGGACCTCGCGGGCCGCATCCGGCCCGCGGGCCGTAGTTTGGAGACCCCTGCATTAGTACATAAAAGCTTGTTAATAAAACGTTTTTTATGAATATTTTTTTTACAATTAAATGCTTGACGAGAAATTTGGACGAATAAATACAAAATGTTGTGCTAAAATTTGAATTTTTGTCGTTTGCAAATGCTTTAAAGCTCATAGCATTTGTTTTATACACAAATTTTAAAATTACAATTGTAAAAAAAGACCGGAAAATGTTAAAATCTATCTATTGTTAATTTATAAATAAGAAAAATTTATGACATTTACACTGAAAAATCTTAAGTTGTTGAGTTTTATTTACATTTCAGGCTGGGAAAATTTATATTCTCGAGCTGGGCTTTACCTCCCCTATAAAAAATGACATGGTTGGTCTGTATTACAGCGTGTACTCAAACAACGGTAAAACCACGTACGTCAGTTTCACCTGAATAACTTTTACAAATAGCTTTATTTACAACCCCATCCATACACAGTTATGTAGGTGTAGTTTCGTATAGTCCACACATAGTAATGTTTATATAAATGCTGTAATATTTACAAACTACCTCATCGTCATCATTTCCCGTTCTTGTCAAAACACACATGGCAGATGGAGTACAGTTCATATGTTATAATGACCTCAGCATGCAGCGGGATAGTGTAGTCAATACTCTGCCTAGCCCATTAGTTTCCCCAATCATGAATCAGGTACCCATCAGAGCTGGGTGAACTCGGGAGACGTTCTACAGACTCAAGCACGGGGATCCGAACTCGAAAATTACTTGTCAGCAGTATTGAGCTCTAGCATCCGTCCATGCTACCCTAAGATAATAAATATCTAAAAGATTTTAAAATGTGAAAAAAATATCTCCATAGTTACATGGCGACGACGCAGATGTGGCCGGCAGATAATAAGTATCTAAAAGATTTTAAAATGTGAAAAAAATATCTCCATAGTTACATGGCGACAACCCAGATGGAGCTGGCAGATAATAAGTATCTAAAAGATTTTAAAATGTAAAAACAAATATCTCCATAGTTACCTGGCGACGACCCAGATGGAGCCAGCAGACGCCAGAAAAGCCTTCCCCTGTTTTGACGAGCCGGCACTGAAGGCCACGTTTAACATGAGCCTAGTACATCCCAGCTCCATGATCTCCCTGGCCAACACTCTGCTCGTGAACACACAACCTGCATTGTAAGTTCGAGGGGGGGGGGGGGGGGGAGAGCGGGAAGGGAAGTAGAAATACACTTGAAGTATCAGATAACCAAGTAGCGAGATACTGTATTGTTTTCATCAATTATGCAGATTTGAGATTTATTTAACAAAATAAGGTAGAATACAATACCGTTATTGATCTTCAATTGCAAGTACTGATGTATTCATCTACATACAAATATATATATATATATATATATATATATATATATATATATTCTCTCTCTCTCTATATATATATATATATATATATTATATATATATATATTTTTTTTCTATCACACATATACATATATATATGTTCGTGTATGAACCGTCTCCTCCCTTAAAATTAGTACTGTAGATGGTGTGGACTATGTTCGAGATACCTACCTACCGTCACCCAAGATGTCTTCCTATCTAGTGGCGTTTGTTGTCTGTGATTTCTCCTTCAAGTCGGCCGTATCCAAGAACGGCGTTCTGGTATGTACCAATATATAACTAGTTGCTATCTCGTTAATCAAATAAGCCGTCACTATCCCTTGTGTTGCTGTACCACCTACTTATATAACATTAATCATTAACGTTTTTTCTCTTTTATGCCCAAGACACATGGGTCCGTCACAAAAAGCTCCCTCCACTTTTGTCGGTCTCCTTCTATTTTTCTTCGCAGTCCAACTTGATACTCCTGTTGCTTCCCCCTGTGCGCTACCGCCTTCTGCCTTGGCCTTTCCTGTTTTCTGCTTCCTCGTGACGTTATGTTTAACGCCATTTCTTTGAGGTCATCTGTGTTTATTCATAAAACTAATATACAACTAGTTGGCATCTCATTAATAAAAGTTAACATCAATGACTTGAATTCACTTGAATAAATGTACCCCCTACTTAAATGACACATTCAACACGAACAGAACAAACTATTAACCATGACGCCCGTTAAAAAAAACCCTATGCTCCACTGAAGACGATAAAAACCACCCCCATCGCATCAAATGTAAACCCTATCAAATTTAACATTAAACATAAACCATGTTAAGTAAACCAAGTGTTTTTTTAAAGCAAAACCATAAACCCAGTTACATAATAAAGGAATCCTTTTAAATAAAAACCAAACCCTTTTAATTAGAAAACCCAACCCTGATGAATTATTCACGAGCCTTGACGCGTACAGTGTAAAACCTGTTAAATAAAACTTTGAAACGCGAACCTTGTACACACGAAACAATAAACCCCACTATATAATACATGAACCCTTTATAAATAATCAAAGCGTTTTACATAAGCCCCGAGCCTATCAAATAATACATGAACCATGTTGTCTACAGTTCCGCGCTTGGACTACCAATAGCAGCATTGACCAGATAGACTATGCCCTGTCTGTGGGCACAGAGACTCTCTCTTTCTATGAAGATTTCTTCGGCATTAGGTTCCCTCTGCCAAAACAAGGTGATCTATTGACTGAAATGACTATCCTAAAACGATTCAAGCTAAAAGAGAGGATATAGTAATTAGCAATAGTTTTCATTTGTTCAGCAAATATATTTATCTGGAAATTTTGGACTGAAAATTAACTTTATGTAAAATAAAATAAAGTTTTTTTTTTAATTTTGTATTCTCGAAAATAATATCTTGTTGAAGGGCTAAATGTATTGAACAAAATAAAAATCAAGTCTAATTTTACTGTATATTTTATGTTTTGAGAAACGATTTCAAATGTAACTTCAATGTAATCTTTAAGAGAGCATTGATCCACTGTAATGTATATTAAAGATAATGTTTTCCAAGATTAAAATTCCTCCACAGATATGATAGGCATTCCAGACTTTGCATCCGGTGCTATGGAGAACTGGGGTCTTATTACTTACAGGTCGAGTTTTAATAAACACACACACACACACACATTCATCGAATTATATTTTTCTAAATTTGTTATAATGACTATGTTGCATATTTTAAATGATTAAATCTTATATTGGGTGCAGTTCAGTTTTGTAAAAAACAACAACCTACATGCATCTCACATTTAAATTTAGTTGTATCACCTGGGATGTATTGTTTCATACAGACAGAAGTACCTTCTGTACGAAGAGGGCAAATCTAACGAGTACGACAAGGAGATTGTGACCTTTGTGGTCACGCATGAGCTGGCACACCAGGTACATCTGAACTTAACTGCTACTTTTAGAAGTTCGTATCGGCTGTTGGCAGCAGTTTCTTCCAGACATCTCTTAAGTGATACCCTCCCCTCCCACCCGAGAACGAAATAGATTTATATATAAAATATATACTCTACCAGTGTCAGCCCCCCTCCACACGTAAATCTTAATCTCCCCCCACCTTCTAAAATTTCAAGTCCCCCCCCCCCCGCCCCCCCCCCCCCCGGAGAAAAAAAGTGGAAGAAACACTGCATGGTAGTAAAGCTACAGTTTGGTTGGTAAAGCTACCTTTAACATTGGTGTATGCTTTGTCTCTAGTTCTAATCTTAGTCCAGTCCGTGAATATGGCTTTAGGCTCGATTGAAGTCCTTACTCTGAGCCAGTGGTTCTCGATTTGGGTTCTATCGAACCTCAGGGAAACAGTTTCAGGTGTTCAGCGGAGGTCAAGAAACACACACGATTCTTTTGATTCACGATTAAATTTGGTCAGTGCGGGCAATAGAACTATTCAATTTGGTCAGTGTGGGTAATAGAACTATTGAATTTGGTCAGTGTGGGTAATAGAACTATTGAATTTGGTCAGTGTGGGTAATAGAACTATTGAATTTGGTCAGTGCGGGCAATAGAACTATTAAGGAGTGTTCGGTGAATGGACATTTGAAACTAGTTGGGTTCGGTACCTCCAAAGAAGTTGAGACCCACCGCTCTAACTAACATTCTAACCATAACAGATACATTTAGTACTTTGCTACACTGCTAACCCAGTACTCTCTTATGCCGTGGTCTTGCAAACGGGTGAACTCTACTTCACCTGGCATACAAACCGTCACGTCTGTCATGTGAATTACAAGACAACGATACGCATTTTATCATGTGATAGCCTACCGTTTGTTAATAAAGATATTTGTATCTACCTGCAGTGGTTCGGTGACCTTGTGAGTCCAAGATGGTGGGATGACCTTTGGCTGAACGAGGGGTTCGCGACCTTCATGCAGTACCTGGGTGTTGACCACGTGCAGCCAGACTGGAAATTTGTGAGTCAGATCTAGATTTTTGTAGCGCAGTGGAAATATAATCAGCCCAATTGGAACTTTGTAATTCAGATCTAAATTTTTGTAGTGCCATGTCCTAAACTCTAAAGGCATGGAAATATAAACAGCCCAATTTGAAATTCGTAAGTCAGATCTAGATTTATGTAATGCCATGTCCTTAAGGCATGAAAATATAATTAGCTTAATTGGAAATTTTAAAGTCAGGCCTAGGTTCTTGTAGCGCCATGTCCTTATGCATGGAAATATAAATAGTCTAATTGGAAATTTATTATATAGTTTTCTGTTACTTTGACATTGAGAAATGTTGCCATTACCATCAAAATTTGATATCAATAAAAAGTTAAGTTGTTCGTCGTTTGATCTAAAAATAAAGTTACAGTTTTTTTCCGTCTACTTTTGTCCCCAAAATCAAAAGTTACATATTTTCCCTTCTAGTTTGACATCATGACCATCAGAGAACTCCAGAAAGCTATGTCGTTAGACAGTCTTGTGTCGTCACATCCGCTCTACGTTCCAATCACCCTCATAGACGACATTCTCCAGATCTTCGACAGCGTTTCTTACTCTAAAGTAAGTTTTGTCCAAATCATGTGTTTACCATGATAATTTGGATAACATGTAGAAATACTTACTCTAAAGTAAGCTTTGTCGGAATCAATAGATTAACATGTATGAATACTTACTCTAAAGTAAGTTTTGTCCAAATGGATTTGATTAACATTTAGAACTTCTTACTGTAAAGTAAGTCTATGTCTAGATAATTTGGATAACATGTAGGAATACTTACTCTATAGTAAAATTTGTCGAGACAATTTGAATAACATATAGGAATAGGCCTACTTATTCTATTGAACATTTTGTCTAGTAATTTGGATAACATGTTGGAATACTTTCTTCAAAGTACGTTTTTTTCAACTATTTGAGTAGCACGAAGAACTGCTTACTCAAAATTATATTTTGTCGAAATAAATTGGGTAACGTAATTTTATCGAAATTTTTTTGCTACAACAGTGTCTATAAACTAGACATTTTAAAATCTGCTTTGTATATTAAATATGTTATATCAATCGTTTTATCAGATGTTTTAGATACGTTTGTACAGTATTAGTGCAATATACATGTTTCTGTTAAATATATTAATACATGTATTTTGTATACATTCTATCACAGGGTGGTTGTATTATAAGGATGTTGCGTCAATTTATTGGAGTTGAAACCTTTAAAAGGGGGATGAACGTAAGCCATTTTTAAAATCTTTTTGCTGTTTGGGTTATTTCGAACTTGGAATTACATACTGCAATAAAAAAATACAATTAAAAAAAAATAAAAATAAAATCAAGAATTATGAATAAATTACACTTTCACCACAAGCTTAATTTATCACTTTTTTGAGTATCATTGTATTATATTTAATATGTAAGTTGAAACTCATCTCAGGGGTCGGCGTGGTCGAGTCGGTAAAGCTCATGGTTGCTAAACCGAAAAGTCTCGAGTTCGAACCCTCGGGCAGATGAGGCTCGCTAGCTGGGGACAGCCACTCTTCTAGGAGAGACAACTCCAAAATTAAACAACTGCTGCCTTGTAGTTTGTTCTTGGTTGGACAAAGGCTATGGAAGCAAATCCAAAAAAAAAAGCAGGCTGAAATCGGAGTCAATGGCCTCAATGGCGCATAACCAGTTGACACGTACCGCTTAATTGTGTTGGAGGCGTGGTCGAGTCGGCAAAAAGCACATGGTTGAAAAATTCGAACAAAGACTCCAGTTCAAACCCACTGGCAGATAAATCTCGATCCCCTTCAACACTAATAATTAAGAACGAAGAAGAAGAAGAAGAAGAAACTCATCTCATCTGTTCGTTTTTGTGCCCAAGACACATGTGGTGGCCGAGTTTATAATAGAGTAGAACTGATTAAGAAGCTCTTACTTTCATAATTAGGTAATTATGCGTTTTACTTTCAGAGATATCTGACAAGATACATGTACTCTACTGCCACACACAATGACTTATGGGATGCTATAGCCGAGGTAATGCTTGCATTAGATCAGTACCGTGACTTTGTGTAAGCGTGTTATTTATATACTACTAAAACTCAAGTTTGTTTACATGTTTGAATATTTATGTGTTTGTTTGTCCGTTTGGTTACAGGAAACAATCTGCACTATGTGTAGAGCTGTAAAATAGTATGTAGATAGAGAACAATTTTTTTGTTTTCAGGCAGACTGTTAATCACAAGTTTATTTAAAGAATTTAATTAATTTATTGATTTATTCATTTTCCCACGTTTTCTTTAACTTGCTTTCTCTGTTTGTCTTTCCAATCAAATCTTGCGATCGAAATTTCTGGCACTTCCCAGTTAGCTAGCGCGCTGAAATTTTCAGGGAAGCTTTCTTTTGGATGACCATTGAATATTCAATTGTTATTATTACTAAATTGATCAATGGAAACATTTTATTGAGCATTTTAGACCGCTATATAATCTATATATATAATTCTCCTCTGCTAGCCATTAGAAAAAAAACCAGCGACGCGTACCTCGCGCGCAGTGAAGCGAACGATCACATGTCGCCACAGGCTTAGGGGCAGAGAATTTAGCTTGAACCGAGTTTAAACTTACAGGAGGTAGGCCAGTTTGGGGGAGACGATATGGTCGAGTGGTTGGGCACACGATTGCTATCCCACTCGACACGGGTTCAAATCTATGTGTTCTAGTCAGTAACGTATTCAAACAACGTGTTTTTTACGAGTTGTCTTTTTACGAGTTGTCTTTTTACGAGTTGTCTTTTTACGAGTTGTCTTCGTTTACCCAAAAAAAGTGAAAAGATAAAATCGATAGCAAGATTTTAATGCAAACAAACAGACAAAGACTAAAAAGTAGAAAATAATAATCATTAAAAAAGTTTTAAAAAACCCACGTTTTCTGATTGAACTAAAAAGTAGAAAATAAATGCTATAGGCCCTACATCACAATAATGCAAGCGATCACTCTACTATAAGCGAGCAAAAACGTGGGGCGCCGTGATTTTCTTACAGTTTCTAATACTGTTGACTCTCTACAAGCTCCCTAATAAAAGTCAATAGTATTATCTAATCAATAGTAATATAACTTTTACTTCGGCGCCCCACGTTTTTGATCGCTTATAGTAGAGTGATCGCTTGCATTATTGTGATGTAGGGCCTATAGCATTTATTTTCTACTTTTTAGTTCAATCAGAAAACGTGGGTTTTTTAAAACTTTTTTAATGATTATTATTTAGATTAACCACATTAATTATTAAAGTTCAGAACAATGACTTCACTTAGAGTGAATAGTGACGCCCCTAGAGTCAAAGCACCTTTGGTCAAAGGTCCGTTATGGTCAAAGCCCCGCTGTGGCCCAAAATCCCATGGTCAAAGCCCCGTTATAGTCAAAGCCCCGCTGTGGCCAAAATTCATACGGTCAAAGCCCCTATGGTCAAAGGCCCGTTATGGTCAAAGCCCCACTGTGACTATAACTCCTATGGTCAAAGCACCTGTGGTCAAAGGTCAGCGCACCTGAAATAGGTACCCCTAAGAGCTGGTTGGACACAATGACGTTGTACTAAGTTGAACCCGGATTCGAACTCGAGACAATTTCGGCTTAGCAGTCTAGCGTTTTACCGCTAGGCCACACCATCCCCTAATATAATCATACACTGCATTAAAATTCCAAATGTTGAAATTAATATATTTGATGAAATAAAAATATCTAATCAAAGTAATTAAATAAAATCCACTAAAATGACCCACACAGCAAACAGCACTAGACGGCAAGACCATTGACGTGAAGGACATCATGAACACATGGACCGTCCAGATGAACTACCCGCTTGTCACTGTCACCCGTGACACGTCATCCCCTGACGTCATCATCGTGTCACAACAGAGATACCTGTCCGCTAAGAACGCCGTTGACCCTGGGACCTACCAGACGCTTTATGGGTAAAAAAAAATTAGTTTATTTGAATTTCATTGGTCGGTGATCGGGTGTTTTAGTGACGAATCGTTTTACGTTTATGTCGAGTTAGTTATTACGTCCCTTGTGTATCCCTTGAGTGATTTATGTGGTGTGTACTTGCTGTCTGTGGAAGAGTCAGACCTAGTGGTCAGACCTGGTGGTCAGACATGGTTGTCAGATATGGTTGTCAGATATGGTTGTCAGATATATTATTGTCAGATATGGTTTCTAGTAAACTTACTAATATTACCTTAATTTAATATGTACACAGTATACATTAGTCATCGATGATATTAGCTAAATTTGACGGATGTTTTTAAATCACACAGATACAAATGGACCATCCCAGTTACAGTGACATCCAGCAAAAATCCAAACTTTGACGAATTTAGTGCTGATGTTTTGTGGCTGACTAGAAATGAAACATCCAGTAAGTTAACTTGTGTTTGTGGATCAGTATATAATGACAAATTGAATCACGCCACCAGAGGCGACCCCTCCCGGCGCCCGGGGAGAAACTTTCAATTTCGCGCCCCCCCCCCTATATATACTTTTCATATTTATAATTCAAAACTTCAGCTAAAATGAGCTTTTCATTTTTTTCTCCAACCCATTTTGGCGCCCCTAGGGTCGGCGCCCGGAGGGGTCGGCGCCCGGGGACCCCCCCCCCCCCCCCTTAGCTACGCCTCTGCACGCGACAACAACACTGCACAGTAGCTTCTCCCCGCCCGTGCCTTACGCCGCTACAGACATCATACTCTCTGTCCCAAATTTTGCTATGTATATAAATAGCGAAATTGCATTTCAGATAAGGTAGTGCGTAAAACATCAGAACTAACAAGCGTTTCTTTCAGGCGTCTATTCGTCTACCACCCTCCCTCTCTGAACTAAATATAATTTATATAGAAAATTGTTACATGTGTTAGCCCCCCCCCCCCCCCCCCCACGAAAGTTTCAAGTGCCTTTTTCTGTGACCGAAGTCAGATATCAGCAGTAGCTTGGTGGACTCAAGGAGGTTCTGTTTACTCGAGACATTTAAACAACCCTGCTACATTCGGCATTTAAATCTTCCAGCTTTTTCATTCGACCACATAAAATTTAAAACTTCTGTAGCCTACAATGTTTTTACCACTGGGTTAAACTCGATTTTTATAGCACCGTGACATTGGCGTGAACTCCGTTTCGCAGGCCATATAGTATAGGCAGTTCTATAGAAAAGATTGTGAGGGTTAAACGCCTCTTGCATTCTCATACAAGAGCTTATGCAGCTTTTACCGGGTTTACAGCTATTTACTGTGTATAAATCATAAAGGTATTCACTGAATGCAAGTAAATGCAATGTCTGTATAGACATATTAGGTCTATATCGGTATTTATCGTATATACAAGTATATACAGGTATTTACAGTCTTTGCATGTATTGACTGCATATATACGCGTTCAAAGATATAAGTAATGTTCCCTTCTCGAACCATATAGTCAATGGGACAGATGAAATAGAGTTCACCTGTTTCTGTGACCTCGGCATACTAAGGGATGGTGTGGTCAGCACTATGCCCAGCCGACTTTACTGCCCCTAACGTAAGTTAGGTACCCATTAGAGTTGGGTTGGCTCAGGTACATTTTACTGACTTGAACCCAGATTTGAACTCAAGACTTTTGGGGCAGTGGTCTAGTACTCTACCGCTTGGCCCCTATATCCCAAGCCCAAACGTATACACTCTCAAATCTTCTAATCCCTCTATTTATTTGTATTTTGGATATAGATAATTCCCGTCGCCCCCCCCCCCCCACCCCCGCCCCTTCCTCGACACACTCGCCTTACCCAAACCAACATTTGCCGCGGTGAAACTGAATAACCTTGTTTTTTTTAATGCGAACTACAACTGTCTCACATTATTGTCATTAAACAAAAACTTTCACCCAACAGAGAGTTTCACCTTTGGTGCTGCCAACTTGCCAGACATTAACGATCCTAATGGTTGGATCCTTGCAAACATTGCTCAGGTCGGGTACTATAGAGTCACCTACCCCGTGTCTAACTGGCTGGCACTTAGCAACCAGTTAAAGACCAACCATGAGGTAAACCACTATATATATAAAAAGTTTGTCACATATATTAATATATTTGCTCTTACACAGAAGACAATAGATGGAGTAGGTGAGGTAGAGTTTATCTATTTCTTTAACATATGGAAGGACAGCTGTATCATCATTATTCCAATCTACTTTTAAATTTTACCCGAATTATGACAGGTACCCATAAGAGCTGGATAAACTCAGGGACTATTAATCCAACGCTCTGCTTCTCGACAATGTATAAGGTCCATAAAGATAAAACATCTTGTAAAAGACTTGTAACAGAACGTAAACGTAAAAATGTTCATAAAACCGTATAGTACCAATGATATTGACATAAGCGAATGTCTGATTTTCTGTGTGTTAAGTGTTTCTTCAAGGCATCTCTTAACCCCCCCCCCCCCCCAGGAGAGAGTCTACCGCCCCCCCCCCCCCCGAACGAAATAGAATTTATATAGAAAACATATACTTTCACCAGTGTCTGCCACCCCCCCCCCCTTAAACGGAAAATCCCACCCCCCCAGATAATATCAAGTGCCCCACCCCCCACCCCCCCGGAGAAAAAAGTCTGGAAGAAACACAGTGTGTTTTGTGATATGAACGTTTTAAGATCCATAGCAAAAGTATTTAGACACTCTTGAGAGGATTTCAAACAACGGTGCTAATTATGTAACTTACATAACACACAAATACAATCTGTCATTCGTATCATTAATACTTCTTTTACATATACTAACTCCCAACACAAAAATAAACCAACAAATCCCGCCAGTTAAAATTCTCGTATCATAAGATATTTAGGTTGGTACAGTGGCGTAGAAAGGGTCAGAAAGAGAACTCAGGGGAGGGGGTGATTCACCCCGAGCAGATAATTTAGCTATTGTTTTCCACCTACAGGTAATTTCAGCAGTAAACAGGGGGCAGATAATCAACGACGCCTGGAGTTTGGTCAGGTAAGTCAACTTTTGTTACAGGTATGCTGCTCAATGTAATATGCTATACGCAGTTTGGGGTTTGCTACATGTATACTGTTCAATGTAGTATACTAGGCACGTTTGGGGTTTTGCTACCGATGTGCTGCTCAATAAATTGTACTATATACAGTTTGGATTTTAACGCTTTGGATATATTTTTTAAAATATATTTTTAACTATTTGTGTTTTGTCACGATGGCGTTATAATATTTAGTAGTTAATTAACTGTAATAATTACAGTTGGGTTTAATTAATACTTAAGATTACTATTATGATTTATATAAAGGTCAATACTGGGAATGGCATGAAGATTATGATGAAGGTAATATGGTAATATTTTGATTTTGGGTAAGTGTTCTGGGTGGGGGTGCTGATCTGGGCTTTTTTCCGAAAGTCACTTTTCCAAACGCCAATGGCTCGAAGGCTGTTTTCCCGAATGTACACTTGATCGAATGGGTCAAATGGATTTGGGCAAGTGTCTTTGGGGAATTTATCGTAGCCCCAAATTGGGGGAACATGAAAGTTATTGTACGATACCAGCAAACTCTCAGTTACGATGCACTTAGCCTGATTTCTGTCTTAGTTTCACAAGTATAAACGAGGTTACCCGACTAACCAGCAGTAATAATTTTAGACTGAATTGTGAAATGCTGTGTTTAGATCTGGTGACCTTGGCATTGACGTGGCCTTGAAACTGTTTGACTACCTGGACAATGAACACGACTACGTGCCATGGTTTGTCGCTACCAATGAGTTCAAGTACCTCAGCCAGATGTTGTCTCTCAATCCTTTGTTCGGCAGATTCAGGGTAATTAGTCTTTTTACTTTCTCGTATATACGAAGTATAGAGAAAGTCTTGTAATCGTGCAAAAAAAAATCGATATTTTTGCACATCTCGACGTTTTATCGCTCCCTGAGTCGGAAAAACATAGTTTTGCAATCTTGTCCGTATGTCTGTGTGTAAACACGAAAACTTGAGTGCAGTTACATCTAGGTTGATGAAATTTCATATATAAGTATTATATCAAAATCGTAGATCCGTACAGACATTTGAGCAATTTCAGAAAACCGGAAGTGGAACTTTTTCTATTTCAATTTTTTCAAAAGCCAATAACTTGAGTACTATTACAGATAGATTAATTAAATTTCAAATGTACGTAAAAGATCTAATTATCTGCCTGCTTTTTAATTTTAAGTAATTTTCTTTGACAGGAGGTTGTAATTTTCGCTATTTCCGATTTCTAAAAAAAACACATGTGAATTTATATAGTATAATAATATTCCGCACTATTATACACATTTTGTTTTGTGTTCACTTGGTGTGTAATGCCTTTTTCAACGAGATTCTACTCTATTTTAAATAGTTAAAGTAACTAAAAATGGATTAAAAATCATGTCTATTTCACGAGTTGCCATCCCCTGTTGTTTTATATAAGAATATTCGAGAAAGTTTAGGGGAGATCACTTCCGGTTTATCTGTTCGGCGTCAGGTGAGTTGTACGGTAGACTTTTTTTTGTGTGGGGGGGGGGGGGGGTGAGCAACCACGAAGAGATGCCTCAAGAAACATTGTTTCTTTATTAGGCGTCCAGCGAGTTGTGTACTTTGTAAGGCGCATTTTTTTTTGTTTGTAGGGATGTGTTTGTTAGAGTAGGTTCATGTTTAGTTTCCAGTTTCGAGTTTAGTTTTCACGTGTACAAAGGTAGTCGTTTTTTTTATTTAAAAAAAAATAACCTATCTGTCTAGTCTAAGTCTAAGCTCATTAAGTCCCATAAGACATGGCCAAACCGATCAGCATAAACCATCTCTAATCATTCCTAGCCCCTAACATTTCGTGACCTAAACCTTAAAAACTGACGTTACCGGAGATCCAACAGTTTACCAAAAAAAAATAGATTTACATCATTACATCGTAATACTTTTATTAACCAAGGGCAACAGCCTAAATAAAAACAGTATTTGTCCACGGTAAAGAATCAAATTAAGCGTCAACCTGTTTTTAACAATAAATCATTTTAAAACCAACATATAGTAAGTATTGTAGGTTTTTAACAAATAAGTACCAACAAAGTCTCTAAGAGGTAAAAAATAAAACCATTCCAATAGCTACAATTTAGTTTGAAAAATGCTATATTAAATATACAAATGATTCAGGTGTTTTATTGGCTGTTATTGTTGTCGTAATATTCCAGGAATACATGAAAGACAAATACGGCAAATCTTTCAAATACTTTGGTCTAGACAATACTGGATCCTCTCACCTTGAAATGTAAGCACTGTAGTTACTTACTCAAAAACAAGCTATATTGTCTACGATAACTGATAATTTATTAAATCTAACAGTTCATGTATTATGACTAATTTTATTTAATCAGCAGTGTACAGTCAATTACATGAGATAGTTTTTGAAAATTTATTTATTGACAACTAATCAAACCTGATTTGCGTGATAGTTAATACGATAAATAGATAAACCCTTCGTGACTGATACTTTATATCATCTATTTATACATTACTTAAACCTAATTAAACCAAATTACTTAAATCTTATAATTAAAGAAATCCACCATTTGATAACTATACCCACGTGATAATAAATGAAACCTTATCATGACTTATAATAAATTTTATCTGATTATCCAGTTATCCATATATCTAATTATCCAATTATTGTATCTAATTAATTACTGAATTTGACCTTTGGACCGTATGTAGCGGTGCCAGACAGCTGGTAGCCAAAGGTGCCTGTAGCTACGGTGTCAAAGAGTGTCTTGACGCGGCCATCAGCCTGTATAGACAATGGATGGCCGACCCCAGAAACAACCCGTAAGTCTCTGCATGATTTTTTCTTGTTGGCATTGTGAAGCTCCCTTGAATTATTCTTCGATCGTAATTTTAGCATTGAAAGGGATCCCCTCCAACACAATTAAGTATACGTGTCAACTGGTTATGCACCATTTTGGCCGTTGAAGCCGATTTCAGCTTGCATTTCTTTTTGGAATTACTTCCATTACCTTTGTCTAAGAATTGTAGTAGAACAACCTTCAAGGCAACAAGTGTATGATAATGGAGTTGTGTCTCCTAGACGAGTCTTAAAAAAAAGTTCGGAAGTGTATCTTCAAGATAAAAGTTTAATCATTAAAGCATAGTTTTTTCTATTTAAAAAAAAATATACTCTATTATTGCCTATTGTATTTTTTTTAGAAACATATATGTATTCGTAAGAAAAAAAATTAACCAACTACCCAGTATTATCACAGTCGGCACAGCGTGGTCTAGTGATAGAGCGTTTACTGCTAGCTCGATTTTCGGTATTAACGTTTACTATAGGACGTCCAAGAGCTCTAATGGATACTTGACATAGGTTGGGGAAAGTAAAGGAGGCTGGGTATAGTGCTTACCACACCATCCCTTCATACGCCGAAGTCAAGAAACCTATTTACTCTACTTCAAATGTAAAATAGATCGATAGGTCTAAAAAGGAAACTTTACTTGCCGTTTGTAAATATATAAGAAAAATTTAACTCAAGTTAAAAACAACTACTAAAATACAATTCACCGACAGCTAACGCAAACAGCTACCACCTGGACCACAACAACAACCTACCAGTATTTATAAATTATTATCTTATACCCCTTGTACACATCTCTTAATCACAAAACACATATTTCCTCAAATTGGCCTGTTTACCATTGCAGGATTGACCCCGATCTAAAGCCTGTGGTCTACTGCTCTGCAATTGAGGCAGGCGGTCTCGAGGAGTGGAACTTTGGATTGAAGGTAAACAAAAATAAAATACGTGGATCAATCTCAGTAGTAATGGTGGTGTTGAGTTATCAAAATACAAATAAAACCTTTAGGAAAGAATAGGGTTGGTAAGTAGGTCACCAACCAGTTATATGACTCATGCAGGTTTTATTGAGCCGTAGAACTGGTTGGTGACCTACTTACCAGCCCTATTGTCTTGCGACTGTAAATCTGTTTGTACAATATTTAGTTAATATTTTTATTTGCGAAAGAGCGTTACGTTTTGTTTACTTACGGACTATAAAAATATGTAAATAAATCATCCTTTAACCTTTATTCGAGTCTTTAGGGCACCACCGACTGTTGTGTTTAGGGCTAATTGGTTGCATAGCGGCACCCACCCCTCTCCATGCCTGACCACAACAGGTGAAGTAGAATACATATGTTTCAATGACCTTCGCCTATAGAGAGATAGTGTGGTTAGCAATGTTTCCAGCCGAATTTGTTTCCCTAACGTGGGTCAGGCCTCCTTCAGAGCTTTGTGGACTCAGGGATATCCTAAAGTCACAAGTCCGAATGGAGATCCGAACATAAGACATTCGGACTTGAAGTCAAACGCTCTACCATTCGACCACATCTTAACTGTGAATATATTTAACCTGCAACATTTCCTCACGTTAAATTTCACACGACAAATTTTAACAGACTTTAAAAGACTAATCTGACATTTAATTTGACCTTGACCTTGTTTCAACCTTTCAGATTTACACGGACCCCGCCATGTTTAGTGAAACCAATTACCTTTTGGACGCCCTGTCTTGCTCCAAGGACGTGTGGCTGGTCAACAAGTAGGTCAAAGGTCACCTGTCACCATTCACACACACTTTTACTAAAATTTACAAACATTTTATACGAGATAAATGGCCCGTTGAGGAAGAATACAACGGGCGCTAGGTTGATAGTGTTGTCTCTTTTCTCTAAAAAAAAAAACAAACAACGCAACCACCTTTTCCTCAAATTGAACCGGAAACGGAAATTGACATTAAAAACGGATTTTTATCCAGAATCGGCATTTTAATCGGATTTAAGCTTGATCTGCACGTATTTATCGCGCATTCATACTCAATATAGTCGTAGTCATTCCCCTAAACCATGCACCTAATCTCAATCATGACAAAAGTCGCATTTAGAGTTTCTCTCAGGCGACTCTACTTGGGAGGAGGGGGCTCAGCCCCGCTCCGCCCCCCCCCCTCCACACACACCAAAGCACGTCTACCTTCCCATTCAACGAAATATAATTAAATACATTTTCAAGTGTCCGCCCCTCCTAGAAAATTCACCCCTGCCACAGAAAATTTCAAGTACCCCCACCCCTTTTAGGGGATGAAAATGTCTGAAAGAAACACTGGTCGCATTTGTAAATCATACAAACTAAAGTAGAGCCTGTGAGGGGCTTAGCCCATACCGGAAAAGCTGCATGAAAGAAACTGCACGAAAACACTTTTTATATTTGAAAATTTCAAGTTCCCCACTCCGGATAGGAAAAAGTCTGAAAGAAACACTGGTGTCGCGCTTAGCCACTACTCGAAGAATTGCATGAAAGAAACTCTAAACGCAAAACGGGGGTGGGGCTTCGCCCTAACAAGAAGAATTGCATGATCATCACTTTTAAGATTAGACACATGTATTTGGCCGTACTGTCAGTCTTTTTATCATAGAGTATCGTTGACTTAACTTCTTTTAAGAGGGGGGGGGGGGGGGGCTTAGACGTTCTTAAGGGGAGGGGGGGGGGGGGGGGCTTCGCCTCTTACCTGAACAATTGCATGGATTAAACTCTGCACGCAAACCACTTTTACGATTAGACAAAATTGGCTTTTTAATTCAATGTTTACTCGAAAATCAATGATGTCATATTATTGTGTGCACTATCCGGCTTGAGACTATTTTCTACTCTATGCTCCATGTGACGTCACGTTTCGTTTTTCGAATTACTATGCCCTAACCAGAAGAGAAACTCTTCACGCAAACCACTTATAACATTAGACACATAATTTAGGCCGTAATGTCAGTATTTTTTATTATGGAGTATCAATGACGTCATTTCTTTGAGATGGGGGGAAGGGGGACGGCATAGACGTTCTACAGGGGGTGGGGCTTCGCCCCTACCCGATGAGATGCATGAAAGAAAATCTTCACGCAACACATTTTAATGATTATTTACATTAATTAGGCCGTCATGTCAGTGTTTTTAATATAGAGTATCGATGACGTCATTTCTTTTGAGGGGGCGGGGGGCGGCCTAACCGTTCTTAAGAGGGGGGGGGGGGCTTTGCCCCTTACCCGAAGAATTGCATGAAAGAAACTCTTCACGCAAACCACTTTTAAGATTAGACAAAATGGGCTTTTTAATTCAATGTTTACTCGAGAATTAACGACGTCATATTATTCTGTGTACTTTTCCGACTTGAGACTATTTTCTACTATATGCTCCATGTGACGTCACGTTTCGTTTTTCGAATTACTATGCATGTTTTTACTCAGCTTATGTTTTCTCTATAGCGTTCTTGTCAGATAGATAGACAGACAGCGAAACTATTATTATAGACTTGTAAAAGGTACATCTTTGTGTGTGTTTTCTGCGATATATTGGCGAGACTGTTATTGAATATCAAAACGCATTCGTTTTTTGCGCAGTTTGTGTTGCCCGCTTCAGTACTTTATTTAACCAACTTAAGACAATAATTTGGCCTACTGCAACCAAAAATATTATGCCTACAAACAAATTTTCTTTGCCAACTTCAGTTGGTAATATGCTTACTTAAGACAATTAATTTTGCTTACTCCATTAATTTATTTTGTTTACTTAAAAAAAGTTCCTCTTTCGTACTTCAGCAATTATTTTGAATACTTCTGCAGTTAATTGTGTCTAAATTAAGAAGTTAATTTGCATATTTTCTAATTTAGAAAGTTTCGTCTAATGGTAAAAAGTTGGCGTGCAACGTGTATTATCTATGCGCTGTGTTCTAAAAGTCTTATACGGCAGATTTAATACTACTGCGCGGCCGTGCAACCGTGCAGCTTAGAGGGAACAAAGAATTTTAAAATTAATCAAACAAACTTAATTCTTTTTATTCCAGCTTCATCAGCTACGTCATCCAAGACAACTCACCAGTTCGTAAACAAGACACGATTCCACTCCTGACCACATCCACCAGCAAAACTTTGCCACGTATCCTTTTCTGGAACTTCTTCAAAGCCAACTTCGACAAGTTCATGAGCATGTAAAATCAGAATTTATACTTGGACCCTCATTTTATAAAGTTATTTTCTAAAAGATGTGTCGATTAAATCAAATTCATAGATGCATCTTTCAATTTAATAATTCAGCATAAATACTACGTACTACTACTACGACATATTGTTTTGGGATAACGATATTCATTTTTATTACCGTACAAAACTTTCTGCAATAATATGTTAAAGCATCAATAATTGAATCAAATTTATCTTTTCAGTTATGGCACTCAGATATCATTAGCCAACGTCATCATCAGTGCAACCTCCGCTTTCAACACAGACTACGAGTTAGCGGATGTAAGATCCTTAAACTATCTCCCTCTCTCTCTCTCTCTCTCTCTCTCTCTCTCTCTCTCTCTCTCTCTCCCTCTCTCTCTCTCCATCTCTTTCTTACAATATTCATCTGATAGAGCGTAAAATGATTTAGATTCGAGCGATTCACTTTATCGAGCATCACACCTACTAGACTGAATTCCAGTGTAAATGGGGGGAAAAGGAGGAACATATACGATTACACACACACACACACACACATATATATATATATATATATATATATATATATATATATATATATATATATATATATATATATTATACAACATTGATGTATCTTTCAGCTCAAAGCCTTTAAAGCCGCCCATGAAGGCCAATGGGGATCCGCCTCTAAAAGCATCGAGCAAGCCATTGAGACGGTCTCCTCTAACGTGAAGTGGATGAAAGACAACCAGGCCGCAATTGACCAGTGGCTAGCCGACGCTGGGTATTAAGGCACCCGTAGACACGTCTGAGAACACGGAATCGGAAGCAACTTTTTCATGAAGTTGTGTGACGTTGTCTGATTTGTCTAGCATAAAGGAGTTATAATTATTATTATTTTATTTACGAAACTTGCCTGAGGTACAGAATAACAACGAACATGACTAAACAAAAGAACTATATTTATAAGAATACTTTCAATTTAAAATATATAAAAGAATGGCTTCTCAACGAACAGTAATATAATTATTTTGTTATTTAGTTTTTTTTTTAAATATAAATTAGTATCACCTTCGTTTTTTAAATAAACCAAAATAATTAAAATAATTAGTCGAATATAATGTATTGAAAATAAGTCTTTTTTAATTAGTCTGCATTTGTATTAAACAAGATATTCTTTTAATTCTTTTTAATTTTATAACTATCTTTTACATTTAATGAAATTATCTTATATATTCATAGTAGCAAGTAATAATAATAAATTAATAATATAATTAATTGCTAATACAATTTATAGCATGTTTTCTCATGTAGATATGTTATGAATGAACCATAAATAGCAATTAATCTACGTGATCTTTATTTTGTTTACATTTTTGTCAAGAAATCGCTTTAATTGTACGTTATGAAGATCTTATTGTGTTACTCGAGTGTTTCTATATCGCTTATGGTACTGTCTGAACCATGCATTAGGCAGTACGACAGCTACATGAAAGTGTCGTACAGGTTTCATTTGGTCATTTTACTCCTGGATAGTTTGGGGGGGTGGGGGGGGGGGGGCATTGGAAACTTCCGGGGTGGGGGTGTTTTTTTTAAACAACCGAAGGGGAGTCGTAGATTATAGAGAATTGTTCGGAGGAGCTGTAGACATGCTTCTTGTCTAAAAGAAAACCTGATCTAGTGTTTGGCATAAAGGGACGCATCCATTCGTTTCCTGACAAGATAGGATAAATAAAGGCGCGCTGGCTAGCGACAATAGGCGGAGTTCGCTGGAACAGGCGAACTCTACTCCACCTACCAAATTTGAAAGTGTAAATTATATTTTGTAGAATTCGGATGTTTAACGTGACTTTTACACGTAATGTTAAGGTTCCTTTCCAGGTTGGAGAGTTTTCGTTAACCTTTTCTCCCCAGTACCCAGAGGTTGTTTGTCTTAGGGTGGGGCATATGTAGACGATCAGGCTGTTGTGGACATGATCATGCATATGATACGCTGTGATGGTCTATAAAGACTATCATTTCAAAGCTTTATTTTACTGTCGCGGTGGCTGATTTATTAGCTAGTTTAGAAAAAAAAAGAGGTGGAAGATAAGCCTGATGAGAATCAAAGGACAGAAGCTTTAGATACAGGGTAATCAAACCGATATCCAAGCCAGTTAGTCGGAATTCGCCGTGTGGAGGCCTGCTTGGCTAATGAAAGACATTTCCTGAGTTGGTGATATCCGTAAAGAAAGAAAAAAAAAATGAATATGGTGGGGATCCTGGTTTATTACAGTTATTCTTAGTGTCCAACATCACACTTAGGGACCCCTGAATAGATTCCAGTGAGAGACTTGTAACGCAGTATTCGAGTAGATCCGGTTGTGTATACCCGACATTATTAGTTAATGCAACGCTATCTTAAAACGAGCCTTAACATCTTTGAGTAGCGTAGGCCCGAACTCCGTAGCTTCTTATTTAACTTGACTACTTTCTAATTCACTGGAACTTATCTGTTTATTGTAGCAGCTATATGCATTTTTTATGAAGTTGTCAGCAAAGACGATGACTAGGTGAATTATATTAACCCTACACACTAGAGACGGCAGTAGAGCGCTAGGCCGAAAGTCAGGAGCTCGAATCATGGTTAAGTCAGTGGAACGTCCTTGAATCCACCCAGCTCTGAAAGGTACCTAACTCTCGTTACGGCGTCTGGGCATAATGTTGATCACATTATCCCTTTATATGTCGAGGTCAGGAAGCTTATAAACTCTACTTCATCTGCACGATGGATCGTTAGGTCTAAAGAGGAATCTTTTATTTAACACATTTTATTCTAACTTAACTGCATGAACATACTATCCAAGAAGTCTCAGTACTAGTTGTGTGTAAGACAAGAAAATAAACAGCACTCAGACAAAATATTTTTAAACAAAATTTATTTTATTTCATATCAGAACATGCTTTCTTCTATGTAAATCCATGAGGAACCACAGTGGCATATTGTGGACCAGAGATTATGGACCAAGAGATTATGGACCAAGAGATTATGGACCAAAAGATTATGGACCAAACGTTTTTTAACAAGCCATATAAAATTATAAAGTATACATCTATGATCAGTGTGTAATTTAAATAGAATATTGCATAAACATTTTACATTTTATAACCCATCTACAATTTTTAAATATTTTTTTTCGCTTCAGAAACATTAAATTTTAGATAAAAACCTCATTGATTAAAGTATTACTCTCTTAAGTTTGGTTAAGTTGAAATTCTATTGTAATATACTGTTGTTTTTATAACTCGTTATTCTAAACATACTGAGATGGAGGTTTGCATTGTGTGTGTGCGTGGGATTCGAACCAGCGATGAAGACATGCTATGTGACAATCATAGGGAGGGTGGGGGGTGTATTTGGGATCACAGCCAATTGCCTCTATATAATAAATACTTTCTTTGGCTTACATGTTAACAACATCGGTATGATAATCGTGATGACATAGAAACTAGTTGATTGGTGTCTTTTACTCATTACGTGGTTAAATATTCATGCTATTAAATCGGGGTCTGTATTGGAAAAATTATTTTTTTTTAGGTTTTTTTTTTTACACAAAATTTATTCTGCCACAACGATAAATTTTTTAATTTTTTATTTTAAATGTAATTTAAAATAATGCTATCATTTAGTTTATTTTTTTCACAAATTTTTATAAAATAAAAATAAAAGGGACCACACTAACATGCATAGAATGTAAGCTAATATTGCACCCTGGGAGTGGAGTATTAAATATAAAAATATTTCGTTATAAAAAAATGTTCAGTACATACATATAAAAACGAAAAGATAAAAAATCAATTATGAAATAAAAGTAAAATGAAGATGGTTGAGATGATAACAACATCTACCACATTGTTGTACTTGTATGCAGGCAGACACACGTGAATACGATAAGGAATTTGGCGGGGAAAGGGAATACGCTAAAGGGAATTAACAATTGAAATACAGGAAGGGTAGATAACTAAGGCGAATTTCTCAAAATATATAAACATGATTTCTTGTTGAAATATCAATCGGAACAATGCTAGGGACTAAATTGTACTATTTTATTAATAGTTAGTATAAATTATTTGATTAATCGGATCTTAAAATAGTTTATTAAAATTTGTGTGAGTTAAAAGTAGTCATAGTTTTTACCTTTAAAAACCTTAAAATTTCTATTGTGAGAATTGATTTATTTTATTAAATTTTTTATGTCATCAATTTTATTGGTATATTCAATGCCACTTCATTATATTTTTTGAAATCTTAATAATGCTCATCTTACTTTCTTGTAGATCTATATACGAAGTAAAAAAAAAATTAATGCTCATCTGTAAAGAATTTTAAAAAAATGTATTCTAATGTTGTGATAACAATTAATTCGCCGTTCAAGTAAAACATACATTGATTAAATTTGATTACACTAACAGGACACTTCTACTTCAGCTCCACGATGTCACCATCCAGGTCCATCCCAACGATCTTGGTGCCATCTGCGTTCAGCTTGATCTCCAAGAGAGAGGCGGCCTTGATGGGGTCCTTGAGGGCGAACTCCAAGACGACTTTCTTCGGGTCGACGGAGTCGTTCTCGATCATGTAGCCGAAACTCGTGTTGTCGAGTTTCTTGTGGGCGTGGGGGTTCACGTGGTACTCCTGGTAGCCGTCTGAAAGGTCAAGGTTAGGTATGCGTTCAAGGTTGTGTGTAAGGTGAAGGTTAATTTTAAGGTCAAGTTTATGATTTGATATGTATTCCATGTTTTTTAAAAGTGGATTGGAGACTCAACTCCGCTAAAACAATTTAAATGTAAAATTAACAAGGCTTGCAACTTCTCATTTACGTACTTGCCAGCTAGTATTTTCCAAATAAAAAAAATGAATATTTTTAGTAAATTCGGTAACAAAAAAAAATAATACAACAATTACTGCCGGGATTGTAAAATTATTTAAAATCGTAAAAAAATGATAATGATAGACATCAAGAGATTATGATTATTTTTAAAAAAAAACGCGTACAGTTTGTTATTATTTAGTCGAATCCGTAACAAGTTGACATATACGTAAAAACAATATAAGTATATTAGTATAATAGCCTGGGCATGCCGGTACTTAATTTCATTCTCTTTTTAGTATAAAGTTTATCATTTTTTAAATTTATTTTTTTGTATTGCGGGTACTCTTGGCATATTAAAAATCTTAAAGTGCTGCCTATAAACAAATAGCCACAATATTTTTTGCATCAATGGGAATCATGTTCCCTACAATTAATTTAGTTCGAAAACGGATATCGCTCCCTGGCTAACGAGATTTTAAATTTTAAACGAGAGAGATCGAGACTTACAAGCTCTAGAAACTAACGCCGCTCAGAGCAGCTGAATGGAAAAGATTTTATGTAAGATGAAGGTTGGTGGTTTGTGGAGTTGGGTGATTTGTGAAATAGGATGCTTTGTGCCTTATTTTAATTGTAGTAAATACACAGAGAATAATGCGTGATTCTTAATATTAAGCTCTTGAAATTTTGAGATTAAAAGGCAGGTAACTCAAAAAATACATACTTAATGTCTAATTTATTGGTTGCCTACCCTTACAATGAACGCAAACGAAACTTCATTCACTACGTTAACGTATTTAATTTATAAAAAAAAAAAAAGCTCCATATATTGTAAATCGTCGTTTCTTTACGTCGTTTGTTAAAGACCATGTACAACGATGTTTGATAGGCTTTTCTTTCATCTTTTAGTTTAGTCACCTATTTAGTCTATGGCTCCTGTTTTAAGCTATGAGTCCTAATTTACACCACCTTTGTAGTCGCCTATTATTTCACCATTTCAGTCTATTTTTTTTCTTGTTTTCGTAAAAAAATAATACCCCCATTTCAGCCTAAAACTATTTAATCCCCTTCGGAATACTCTTTTAGTCTGACAACTGTTTTAATATAGAAAATCCCGTAACCCAAGCTACAGACCCTTTAAGCGGGTAAGGTTGAATTATTAACTTAACTAGACTGTCTTAATCTAACAAAATGCCTTTATTCCGCACTATACATTTCACATATTTTATGGAGAGTTAACATTTCCAAACCACGTTATTTTCCTGTTATCTTGAAGTTGTCGTCCCTCACAAAGATGGGCCTGTTCTAATGTGTAAGGATAACTATCGCTTGTCAGACAAGAGTAGACGGAAAAAAATTAGATCTATTTTTAGAACAAGCGTTGCGCGAAGAAATTCGAACAATAATGTGTTCACGTGTATTTTTAGTCGTCTCACTGAGCGTGTGCTTTGTCTGCTATTTATATACCAAATCAGCATGCCATTAATAATGCCTGTTTGACATTTTTTTGTTAAATGCATGCAATGTACTGTATTTAAACGTTTTCATATATATATATATATATATATATATATATATATATATATATATATATATATATATATATACATACTTAAATAAGACCGTATAGCGTTCTTATTTTCTTAACGTCGACGTTGTATAATTCAGTAATGCAACTCAGGATAATCTTTGTATATGTTTTATCTACACCGTTTGGTGCCTAATAAGGATTGGCACCTAGCTACGCCTCTGATAGAATTAACATGCAATAGCGTGTAAATTAAAATGTAAATTTAAAATAAGCCAGTTTTTTTTAAAATCTCGTCTGGCTTCCTGTATATAGGATCTGCTTCAGCCTGACCACCCCTCCCTCTCTCCTTATATTGTTTTTGTTTTTATTTATAGTTAGACATACACCTTATCTTATTTAGCTGAAATACATTTAAATAATGAAAAGATAACGACATTACGATCTACGATCACCTTTAACTGCTTTTGGCAAATTCTATCTTTTGTTTTTATTTAGTTAGACCTACATACCATCTTATTTAACTGAAATCAATTGAAACAATGAGACGATGAACGACGTTACGTGATAATACGATAATGTTTAACTGCTTTAGACAAGTTATATATATATATATATATATATATATATATATATATATATATATATATATATATATATATATATATATATATATATTTAAATTAATAGCTAGACCTACATACTCTCTTATTTAACCAAAATCAATTAAAACAATGAGATGATGAACGACCTTACCAGATTTTTTGTCAGCTGTAATCTCCTGCCACTTGTCCTTGTTTAGACTGTCAATCAAACCTTCCATTCTGTCAAGAAATAAAGGTAAATTATTAAATTCCAGGTGAGTTAAGTGAATGAATAGAAATATGCGTGGAATTCTGGGTAGGTCACAAACATAAAAGTGTGTCGGTTACAAACATCAAAGGCGGGGTATTATCACACAGCTGGTAAGATAAAAACGTATCTAAAGGATTATAATTTTTTGTCTGATCTGCAAACGTCTGATTTAGTGTAGAATGATGTATGAAGTAAGGTATAAAGTCGGGTTTAGTTTAGAATGATGTATGAAGTAAGGTATAAAGTCGGGTTTAGTTTAGAATGATGTATGAAGTAAGGTATAAAGTCGGGTTTAGTTTAGAATGATGTATGAAGTAAGGTATAAAGTCGGGTTTAGTATAGAATTGAAATAGGGAGTAAGCCTTACTCAGTAAGGTATACAGGCGGGTTTAGTTATTACTGTATAGGCCAATGTTGTATTCTAGGCATAGTTATGTACTGTGTTATAGAACAGTGTGGTCGGGCGCAAGAATGATCACTCTATCGACGACTGTTATCTGTCTTAATTCGGTAAAAACGTATTTAGTCCACGAAGCTCTTTTGAATATCTACCTAAAGTTAGCGAAAGCGAAAACGGCTAAGTATTGAATTGACCAAATTATACCTGTATACCGATTAACGTCTACCGCCCAAGATCAAAATATAAATTATCTAGAAAATATATACCTTTACCAATGTCCACACACATAGCTCTGGAAAATTTACTCCCCCCCACCCCCCCACCGAAAGTTTCAAGTGTTCCCTCAAAGAGAAAAGTCTGAAAGAAACACTTGCTCACCGTGTTTTATTTACCTCCCCCCCCCCCCCGTATGTAGGTGAGCAGTGTACAGCGATGTGAGCACAGGTGAGTTGTTTTATTAATTAGCGTGACCTTGAAAACTTGAAGCGTGCAATGTTTACCTTTTCAAGCTTTGACCTGCTTTTCTTTAAACTCGTTTACACCAAAAAATGTGCTTATGGTAAATATTTGTTCGGTTTAAAAAATAAAGATAATTCTAGGTTAAAATCTATCTTTAATTTTATTTTATTCTAAAGGAAGTTTGAGGCGATTCTAATGAATGTTAAATGAACTATTGAATAAATGCATTTTTTTTAAATGATGCTCAGCAAAATGTAATTTTGAAAACGAAAGTAGCTCTTAATTGCATACCGGATTTGAATGTGTACAGTACAAATGAGTTAAGGGGTCATCCATAAATGACGTCACGCTTTTTTTGACGATTTTTACCTCCCCCCCCCTTCCCTCCGTCACACGTCGTCACAAAAAGCCAGACCCCCCCCCCCTAAAATGACGTCAGACCTCAACCTACAACCCCCCTCAAAATTGCAGTTGAATTTTTTTTTAAATCGATATTTTTCTAAAATCTTGTCTAAACTATTACAATTTATTAAAACAGTTATCTAAAATCCGAAATAACGTCTAAAATTCGTTTTCTAACATTGCTTTTTTATAATGCGAAAGTGTGACGTCGCAACATCTGAACCCCCCCCCCCCCCCCCTCCCCCTCATCACACATCGTCACAAAATTACGGACCCCCCCTACGAGTGTGACGTCATTTATGGAGGACCCCTTACCCACGATATGGTTGCGAATGTTACAGACAATGTTAGGACTGGAACTCAAATCAGGATAAAGTGATGGACACGTTACAAGAAAATACAACTACAACACACCTTGAGTCAATGCTTAAGAGCACACCACACGGCTATTACACATTTTGCAAAAAAACTAATTTGCTATCGAATCTCCTTTTAAAATACACATTCGCTTATTACACAGGGAGTATTTCTCCATAAAAGAGATTAGAGTCGGAAGGCTTCATTCCTTTCTCATTTTGTTTCTCCTTTTTCTCTTTCTTTTTCCTGCGCGGACGTACAAGAGAGAGCAGTCTTTTAGCACTCACCAATGACTTGCGAGGAATCCCAAGTCGCCAGTGTACAAAGGTTTTGTTAGTTTTTTCGTTTCAGCTCAGTCGCCCCAGGCTGTGCTATTTAAGAATGTTGTTGGTAATATTGTTCGCCTTAGGTACAGTTATAAATAGTGTATTCACTGCTTGGGTATTTTTTACCGTAGGGTTAAAGTCACCGGTAGATATAGAATTAGAGTTTTGTGGAAAATGTTTTAGTGAGAATAAAAGAGCTAGATAAAAATAGTAGTGTTCTTATGTTTATGCGTTATTTGTATTTTCATTGAAGAGATACAAGTTTGCATGTTTTGAAAGAAATCAACCAACACAATGATTACGACAATTTGACAGAAAAATCAAACAATGAAAAAAATTAGAGTCGTCTATACATAGTTTCATGTAGTGATGGGAAATAAGGATTGAAGGGTGGGACGTGATGTATGTGACAATGAGCTTTTTGGGAAGGTGATGGAGAATGTTTAATATGGAGTTTATTTTCAATATATTCAAACAAACAGTGAGAAAAGCTTGACAACGTATTCTAGGTGCCTTCTTTTTTAGCATTGGCATAGTTGTGAGTGTAAATATAAGAGGGAATTTAATGAAAAGAATTAAATAATGTTAACGTTAGGATAACGCCAAGGTATGAAAACATACTTAAACTAACAATCCCATTCAATAGCTTTGGTACCTACTTGCAAAAAAATGTAAAACACCAAACGTATTAATTGATTTATGATTAAAGCTCAGACTAAGACAATTCGGTACACATTGTTACTAATGACTCCTTAATTATACCTCGTGGTGTCCTTAATGACACAATAATTGTATACATCTCCTAGCTACACTACAAACGCTGACTCAAAGTAATGGCTCTAGATGATCACGTGATATTCTGTAAACGTTCTATAATGACTGTTAAACAAGGGTCATTGACCTCATGTATGCAGATATTTATTTTCTCAAGATGATTGCTAATTCCGTATCATCGTAATACGTAAATTCATTGCATTGCACGAAATACACCGACGGCAAAAATATGATACTTACTTCAACAGTAAGTTAATATCCATCTTGTAATGAAGATGAGTGCTTATAAAAAAAAGAAACAGAAAGAAATAGAATGAAAAAGAAAAGTAGAAGCGATGTGATAAACAGAGAAATACAGAAAAAGGAAAGAAACAAAAAGTTTTATTTTTGCACGCTTTGTTAAAAATAAAGTCTTGCCTTAAACAATTTTTATGAAAAGCTATTCCACTTTCTTCGCTTTACAGAACAGCTTTACGCGTAGTTTACAACTTTGAAACAAAAATCATCAATGACAAACTCATGGAACAAGAATTAAAAAAGAAGACAAGAGTACGCCATAGCAAACGTAAGATGTTATTTTCTGGACCATTTGTAAAATAATTAAAAGCAGATAATTTTACTGTAAAAAAAAGTGTAAAAATGAAAAATCTCACAATAAACAGAAGCTTGTGAAAGAGAAGTAGACCGATTCGAGCGTCTGTTTTGGATATTTAAACCTTACTCGCCTGTGTGAAATGCTAAGCGAAAAATCGTTTCTACGCTTTGTTATCCTAGAGAGCTGAAGTAATGCGAACAACAGAAACTAACAAGATATATTAGAACGTTCGACAACTCCAGTTCATTTGAACTGAAAAACAGAAACGCACTGAGGCAGTTCCAAGCAAGTTACCTCCCTTTAAACTGTTTGACCTAATTTAGGGGAAAAAAATCTTTTCTTTTTTTCCCTAACTATTTTGAAAAGAAATTTTCTTCGACTTGTGGGGTATAGTCCGGTAATTAGTTTTTAAACACTGAATTACTTGATTAGCTAGATTTTATTAACATTATTTCTATTTCTTTTATCGTTCACGCAATTTCTCTGCTTTTAAAATATTTTGTCTATTTAAAATAACTTGCATTCGCATAAAAAAAAAAAAAAAAAACTTGATTGATGCTGTTGTCAACATTTTTCCTGGAGTTTTATGCATTTTTTGTTCAGTCTAGTTCTGTATTTTTTGTAGAAATACCTTGATAGAACACGTCAGTAATAAGTTTAAAATTATTAGCGTACTTCCTTTAGACATACACCCGTGTCTCATTTGGTAGATTAAAAAAAAAACTCTTACTAGACTTAAAACAAATGTTACATGTTATTTTTTCCATTTAATTTGGTAATACGATTACGTAGGCATTAAAAAAACAATCACAATGAAATGCATACCTTTCGTAAATATTTTCTGATTCTTATCAAAACATTTTATTTCAAATGACAATACAGCATAGCACAAAAATAAAAAATAAAAGTACACAGTGTGATAATAGCGTATTTTAGAAGACATAAAACTATGTTTATATTTTTTCAGCATATTTTTTCGTAATGTTTTTCTGTTTACTTTATCGTTATTGTTAGATTTCTCAAAGAAAAGTATCGTAAATGAGGAACAATATGATGCTAAAATCAAATTACCTTCACGAGCTCTATAACTTTATTTTTTTATGGTTTTATCACCATTTATGTATCTTCACAACCATTTTATCTCTGATGTTCATTTCTATTACAATTTCATATATGCCATTTATTATCATAACCAAAAAAAATTGTTTGACCAAACGGTATAAACTTTTCTAGGCATGACTTGTTATTCTTAGGAAATGTTTAAATGATGTTCATTTGCAAGATGTGTCTATGACGCATCTTAAAACTATTTTCAACCTTTGATGTTTTCTAACATGTACCACATTATTTGGTTTAAAAAAAAAACAGCCCAATTTCCTGATAAAAAATACGCCAAACAAATTTCATAGCGAGGGATGAAAGCAGAGCTGGCTTAGGAATTCCGTCTTACCCCTAAAAATAAAGCATTCTTTAAACAAGGACCATAACTCTACACCACCACCTTCCCTTCTCACTCTTGTTGTTGAGAGAGAGAAAAATACTCTCCTAAAATCATATTAGCAGCAATATGAAACGTACAAATGGACCAAAATATAAAGGAATTTACTGTAAAAAAAACAACATAGAACAAATCAATAACAAGAACCAGATATTAAG